ACCATCGACAGTAGGAACAAAACCAGCGTCAATATAATAATTACTTTCAACAGCATTAATATACTAAATTACTTTCTCACGATATAATGATATTTTTTAATTATCTCGTACACTACTAGAGCAAAATGTGTCAATCAATTTATGTAAAAGTTGAATGACAACCTATTAATCCATAAATATTACTACATTTAAAAGCGTAAAGTTATAAGATATTGATTATCTCTACGATTATACTTGATTGCTCAACAAATATTCGGATATCAGTTTGAATCTTGAACGATGTATTCCTCCCTCTGATAAAATATCATCGATTCTCATTTGACGGAGATCGATGTATCAATAATCTTGCTATGTATCATAAATCGTTGCACGGCCGCAGATCATGTCCGCTCGTTCTCAACGCTGTCTGAGATGCTGCCACGAAGTGGGAGCCTGCGCACTTGAAAATTGTTTCAGATTCCGCTTATTGCGAGCCGCGCCGACCTTTAACCTTTAAATCCCGGCGCATCAAAATGTAATTGGGGGTTTGTCGGATGCTGGATCGTCTGCTAAAGAACGGAGAGCGGAGAGGAAAACCGGAACCCCTTCTGACGGCGCGCGATATGTGTGTGTGTGTGTATGATTATTATATTAAATTTATTATAATTTCAATTAAACAATAATTATTAAGTAATTGAATAAGAAATTATTGGATTTATTGGGTAGAAAGTACATTTGATGAAGAGGCACAATTTTTGAGTCTTGAGATTATTCGAAATTTGTCATTAGAATGCAAAGCGAGGAACTATGAAACATTTATTCATTAATTACTAAATTATGCGATGTAGATTCATTCCTCGATGTTGTAATGTATAATTGTCTTTAGGACTATTATTACGAGGCAATCTGTCGAAGGGAAATCTGTCTCCCGAGATACATTACAAAGTTTGTTCAATTCTGTCATTATAATTAATCGTTTGAAATAAGTATGCTATTATTATTCGTGCTGGATACAATGATTCAGCATCGCGTAATTAAGTTTATTTAACATGCACTGTTTCGCTCTTTCGGGAAGTCTTTCATTTGTAGCATGTAGTAATCGAATATGTAATATAGAACTCCGTTTTAATTACTCGTGAATAATTTTCTTTTTTAATTAATTATAATTTTTTTCTTAATTATATATATTATATTTATTCTTAGTTAACATATAATATTCCAATGGATTTATATCGCGATTTAGATCTAAAAAAGAATTTATTTTTTGAAATATTTATATACATAAAAATATTAGATGTTACAATTTTGGCAATGTCGTCAAGCTTCGGGAGGAATGTTATTGTCCTTACGTACGAAACAAGAATAAATTCTCGACAGATTTACGTAACAGCGCGTAATTGTTATCTCGTGGTTTCATGCATTGAATTTTTCGCATTTATACCCGGTTGTCCCTGGGTGGTCGAGGACCTCAAAGGACGCATGGACCGGTAACGTTAGGTGAGAACCGTGAAATGAGTTTGCTTGATTGGAGCGACATTTCTTGCTCGGACTTTCGAGCCGCACTTGAATGGATATGCGTGTTAATAAATATCCTTCTGAAATTCTTCTAATACGTTAATGGCACGAGATTGTTTAGAGAGCAAACTAAATATGAAAGAAATATTGTAATTCGAAATTTATATATGGAATCAAATAATAAAAATTCGCTTTGCTTTAAGTTTGATAAGGAATATTATTATAAATATATGTACAATCTGCGTATTTTCTATTCATTTTTAATATTAATTATTACTCGGAATAAATGCAAACTCTATACATAATTACATTCCTTTACGCCGCTCTTTAATTTCCACATTTATCGTGACATCCGAGTGTTACCGGACGACTGTTACGAGGGTGTTACGCAAATGTTGCGCAAAGGATGCACGGCGGTCATTATCCGGCGACAAAAGTTGCCGCGCCTTTCCCGGCATTATTCGTCGCGTTGCGAGGAAAACGAGAGGAGGAACGAGAAGCGCTCGATTATTCCGTTCGCGGAAAAGAGAAAATTGCAGACAAGCCGCCTGCGATCTCTCAGACGATGCGTTTATCGGCCAATTAGTTTCAGGTACATGCGAACTCAATCTCGTGCGAACATGTCTCTCGACGACGTGCAAAACAACGCCGACATATCGATTCGATGGGAACAGTGCCATTGTCATTAGCGTGAAAGTCGGTTCTTCGTTTAATCGCGGATCTGCCACTCGATGCTTTCAAGGAAAGTATTCCGTATTCAGATATCGCGTTGCATTTATCATATGGACAAGAGCGCGGACAGACAGAGTAAAAGTAAAACGTCGGACGTTTAGAAAGCCCGAGGTCTTATCGCGGGAACTTCCTAGGAATCAATCATTCGCAGAATTCGTAAACACTTTTAGTTTTGTCAAGATAAATATGCAGAATCGATGAGTTAAAGCTGTGAGCGACCGAAAATAGTTTGATGTAATTCTTTTTTTCGTACGAAATTTCTGCGCATTTTAAAACGGGAGATAATTATTGTCTTGTATTAGAAAAATGGAAAATATGGTTTAAATAGAAGAATTTGCTTGTCTCGTTAAATTGTTCTAAGGTTAAAATAATTTTTCTTAAAAAGGATAACACCATCGCGATGTTTTATAAAGTAATTATTCCTCACGGTCGTGAATTTACTTTCACGCTTAGTTGCCGATAAAGAATGCGAAAAATCTCAGCGTAGTACTGCTAAGTTACGTGGCCAGACTTAATTAAATGTTGATATTAGAATAAACATATTACAATTTTTTTGTGTATTACACACTAGATCCGGCTCTAAGCTAATTGTAAAAGAAATTGATAGGCGTATAATTCAAGTGCTCTATAACATGACTTTGTTAATCAATTATAATTAATTTCCAGCTTGTAATGCTTATAAAACGTATAATTTTAATGAGATTTGTCTAATTATTCGTATTATAAATCTCGCGTTACAAATATAAAACTATATAGAAAGATATTTATTTTAATAATATTTTTTCTTTATGAAAAATTTTTCGTGCTGTTGTAAGTACGTTTTCGCACGTGGATATATTCCTTCGCATCTTTCGTTGCGTGTGTATGTTAGAAATCAGGTTCTCCCAGCGTTCGTCCTGTCTGTCAGTCGACGATCCGTGCAATAAACGAGGAGAATAGTCTACAATTTTTCTCTCGTCCGAACTTGAATCTCGAACCTGCTCCCGCTGAGACGCGTTCTGTCAGTCTCACAAAAAATACGGTAGCGCGCGAAGCACCGATATGACAACTAGTTCTTGGGATCGCGAGAGAAGAAAACGCAATGATGAGCAAAGCGTGAAGGGAGAAAATAGGAGAGAGAGAAAGAGAGAGAGAATTCCGTGCACGCAGTGGCACGCACGTGAATGCACTTGTCGGCCGCATACACGCATGTAAGAACGGTGAACCTGTTGCATCCCGGACGTGTGCGTACAGCTACATTGCAGAATGCACTTTGGCTTACGTGCCATCGCTCGATGCACACATGTTCCTAAATGTCCGGCAATCTTGCATCACGGAATTAATGCAATTATGTAGAAATTAGGTAAACGTGATCGAATCATGCAAGCAAGTTTGAAAAGGGAAGCCTTAAAGTAAATTTTACAGGAAATGGAATGAATAAAAAAATGTTTGATTTTAGATTTCTTTCTTCGGATCAAGTATATAATGCTTATAAAGATGTTTGTAATTCATGCCTTTCTGTATTAAAATTTATTCGATTAAATAATTACTGTTTTGTTCGATAATTAATTTGCTAACAAAAATTTGCATTTTTCGATAGACTTTACCAAACTTTTTTCACTGCATTATTATATGAAAGTAGTAAAAGTTTTAAAGACTAGTCTCCGAAAAGAATCCTTAATTCTCCCTGGGAACGTACATGTAATCTGCGCGTCCGACGCGGGTTTCTCTAAGGTACGATCCGACATTGACGGCATCGGCATCGCTGGAATTTGCATGATTAGTAAGTGATGCGCCAGGATGCTGACGAAGGATGCACCTGGTATTCCATGCGTTGCTCACGCGAATGTATCATCAGCGACGGACTTCAGCGAAGGGTTTCTCGCAACAGCCGTGGGCGCTTTCCCAATAAGAAACGCAATGCACTCGAGAATTATAAATATGCATTTTGCGCGCATTAAAGTCTTTTCTATTAAAAAAAATTCTCTATTCCACCTTGAATATATTGGATCGAAAAGGAATAATCACATCGACTTTTTATAAAAAATATATTACATAAATTAATTAATTAAAAGATTTAAATTATTTTATAATACATTAACATTTATATTACATGTTCCTCAATTTTTATATGCGAAAATTTTAAAGCACATCGATCTCGATAGAAGATCGATCAAACATTCGATCCCCACGTCGATCACCGTAGCCATCATGCTCCTTTCCATATAATCGATCCAATTACACGACACAATTTCCTGACCGGACAAAGAATATACCGTGGGCAACGAGGCAACGCATTAGATAATGCATGCATTATGCAGGCGGCGGGCAAAAGCGACCGCGAGAACCGCAATGGCTATTAAAGCCCGCTCCAAAAAGACACACGAGGCGCTTCGCATCGGGTCGGCGAACGTAAAAGAAAAAATTTGAAATCCAGATTGAGGAGCGCGTTATCACCCCAGTCAGATTGCCCCTTCCCTCTTCCCCTCCCGGTAATAAGAGGAACGTCAGACTGGCGTAATGGCTTGTGAGCGAGCGTGCCACGGCATCATAAATTCACGACGCGCATTTTCCGCGTAACGTTAAGTAGCGACTTCATCCGGCGGTCAGTACTTGCTCGGTCGATCCTGCGTAAGGACACGCCGTTTGCGTTCGGCCAGCCGCGAAATCATTGTCCTTAACACACTAACACGATTTTTTTTTTTTCGCGGAGATATATATCGCTCGACGACGACGATACGTACGATTATGCCTGTGAAACGCCTCGCTCTAATTAAAGTCTCTTTTTTTTACAGGTACGTTGACCACGAATGTTGCCGCGCGCGGCGCAAAACGGCGTTGGAAGCGTGAGAAGATCGAGGATCGCCGGAAGTATGGTATGATGCGTTTAGCATTTCTCGCGCGCCTTGAGACATTCAAGTCTACCGTCTATTAAAGTCCATTAACGATTTTAATCGTCTTGATTTTTGTTGCGACAGGTAGATAAATAATTATTGAAGCATGCTTGGTTCAGACAAGGAATTATGGGCTTTATTACGGTAATAGGAAACATTGTTTTATGAATTATATAAAATTAAATAGCGTAAACTGCGTAATAATCAGATCGTGCCAAAAATAAAAGAATTGTGATTCCTTGTCTCTACTACTATTATTTTTTTTAAATTAAATTTTCTTGATCAGATTTTGAATGTCTTTAACACTGATCTTTTTTTATTAGAGCTACAATAAAGCCTTTTAAAAGGTGATGTAGCGTTATTATATGGCTTTTCCCCTACTGCAAAAGTAAGTTGCTTTAAAAATTCGATATAAATCGGGCGGTTTAATTGATCCTTTTTGCATCTTATTATGCATAATTGCTCTTCTTAGTCTTATTAACCTTTTTAGTTCTTTGATTCTTTAGTTCTTACGATTAACTGAATTTTCGGAATTAATTCTTTGGATGTCAAAAGAAAGAGGGTTACTTCCATTTATTAATGTTATTACAAATTTTATTATATATTATTCCACATACATTTTTTGCACGTGCAAAATACACATTGCAATACTATTTCCGATCATATTTCGAAGTATATTTATCTGTTGTATTTAGATATATAGAAAGTTTGAATTTTTTTAACGTAAAATTAAAACGAAATTTAAAAAATGCTAAAGTTATGGCAACAGCATTGAAACACGAAAATAGATCGGGAAATCCTTCGGGAGCGTTTATTGGCAATTAATCGCGTGACAGTTCAGCATGCAAGTCATCGCGATATATTATTCTTCAGCGTTCGTTCTTGATGATGACATCTCGGATTAATCGCTTCCTAATTAAGCAACGGTAGCGGACATTGTTACGAACGCATCCCGACGACTGATTTTCTCCGCGACGGGTCGCAGGTGAAAACGCAACGCGTTGGCCTTGCATCTGGTTGCGACAGAATCTCGTGGTTGTCGACGCCATTCGTAACCGAATTATCTCATTATTTCATTAGGCAATGGGCTGCCTAAGCGTCGAGTGTTCATAATTAAGCGTTTCGTGACTTGGAGTGTCGCAAAAGGAGGTGGTTCGTTTCCCGTTACCGCGAGGGTAGACATTATCCTCTTCCTTTAATCGTCCAAGGCGATCCCTAATGACGAAGGATTTTCGTCGACGACGCCCCTTTTGGTCTCGCGAAGAGTAACGATCGCTTGGGAAATCGCGCTATCATCTTCGATGACGACGGATTATTCTAACAACGATCCTCTCTTACAATCTCAATAAACGAGTATTAGACTCTTAGATCTTCTATCATAGACAAGCAGAACGCAAGGCTAATTTATAAACATTATTGAAAAAATTTTACTCGTTGACGAAGCTAAATTAAAATGCCGCAGAGAGATTCATGACTTTATTGAAACCGAGACATCGCGGTTAATACAAAGTTCAAGTATCAATTGCGATCGTTATAATCGCGTAAATTTACGCAACGAAGGATAATTGCGCTCTAAATAGAAATACGATTATATTTTATTATGTCTACCAATTTCTCCGGGTGTTATTCTAGCGCGACACTCGTAAGATTACGCCAGTGTGACACGCGATTTCTCTGACCATTAAACTCCTTCGCGGCTTTCACCAGATTGCAGCTATCGCGCATTGCGCTGTCGCATCTGCATTTGATAGCGAGTTACATGCAACCGTTTCGCCCATTGAAAACGCCGGAAACTTTCTTCTTCCGGGAAGAATGCCGCATGGCGGCATTCGTCAAACTAAATTTGCATAAACGATATGCGTGACATGTATACGCGATACAGATATTTTACAATTACTTTTTTTGCTCTGCAAAATAAAATCAAATAAAGTTTTTGATTTTTCGATAAAAGGTAGAATTTCAAGCAAAAAACTTCATGATATTAATATGAATATACAAAATTATAATTGTGATTGTTGAAAGAGATTAAAGCAATGGAATTTTAAGATAAGTTTTTTTAGAAAGAATATAAATTTTTATATATGAAACTTTTTTGTAGAACTTACAATTAGAATATTGGAAGTTTTAATATTAAAAATGTATAGTTATATCTAATATATACAAAACTATATAAAAGTTTTTATATAGCAACGATTAAAAACCAAACATTATTTAGGTGACATACGCAAGAATTTTTCTTAAATGTCTGTATAAGGAATTATTCATGCTTTGTAAAATTAAAATGCAGGCTGCTGTTGAAACAGTTTATGCTGCTTAAGTTAAAAGTGACGCAAGTAATATGTGTGTTTTTCTCGCGATGTAAGAACGGCCCATTAGACTTTCACTATTTATCGTAACCCGCATTACGTCGCCGATGATGGACGAGCGTGATGCACTTTTAGATGCAACGACCGGTGATAGGCCGCTGCGTTTCGTCCCGCAGTGCTTGCCGGTTTAACGAACCGACCGAAGGTCGTGCATCGATTTTCGCGCGATCGGAATCTCGTAACCGTTTCCTTGTGTTTCTCATAATTTACTCATGTACGCATGACCAGCAATATAAAGTACTTTCAAGTACCAGCGAAATTAGCAAGCGATGATAAGAGAATGGTGAACTTGGGACAAGCAAACAACGATCCGTGCGTATTTTTTTTTTTTCATTGAATCGCTCTTTAAAATTTTATATATATTAATGAATAATAAGATACAAAATATATAATTTACCAAGATATAGCATTGATATGCATGATCAAGATATAGCATCAAATCATTGATAGACAGCAGATTTATATGTTTATTTTT